TATACCATTTCCTTATTTTTTTCTTCTTATTTACGAGAGAAGACTATAGGTGCTCGACCCGTACTTATACAATTTCCTTATTTATTTTTTTCCTTACCCGCATTTATACAATTTTCCTTTTTTTTCTTACCCGTACATATACAATTTCCCTATTTATTTTTTTTCTTACCCGTATTTATACCATTTCCTTTTTTTTTCTTATTTACGAGAGAAGTACTATAGTTGCTCGTCCCGTACTTATACAGTTTCCTTATTTATTTTTACCTAACCCGCATTTATACAATTTCCTTTTTTTCTTACCCGTACATATACAATTTCCCTATTTATTTATTTTTCTTACCCGTATTAATACCATTTCCTTATTTTTTCTTCTTATTTACGAGAGAAGGACTATAGTTGCTCGCTCCGTAAGAGAATTGGCGCGGGGACGATGACGAGCGCGACGCAAAAATACAAACCGTTCAGTAAACAGCAGTCATCGAAGCCACAAGGATTAGGCGCGTCGGTTCCCTGGAGCCTCTCTTGGCAGGCAGGCTTGAGGGAGAGAGAGAGAGAGGAGGAGGGAGAGAGGAGGAGGGTGAGGGAGGGGAGAGAGGGAGAGAGAGATGGGGGGGGGTGAGGGTGGATGAGAGAGAGAGAGGAGAGGGGGAGAATGAGAGGGGAGAGAGGGTGGAATGAGAGGGGGAGAGGGAGAGGTGGATGAGGGGAGGAGTGGAGAGGGTGGATGAAGAGAGTGTGGAGAGGGTGAGGGTGGATGATGGAGAGAGGGAGAGGGTGGATGAGAGAAGAGGGGGGGGGAGAGGGTGAGGGTGGATGAGGGAGAGGAGGGAGAGGTGTGGATGAGAGAGAGGAGAGGGGATGAGAAGAGGGAGAGGGTGGATGAGAGAGGGAGAGGGATGAGAGAGAGGGGGGAGAGGGGGACGAGAGAGTGGGGGGAGAGGAGTGGACGAGAGAGGGGGGGAGGGGGAGGAGTGGATGAGAGAGAGGGGGAGGGTAGAGGGTGGATGAGAGAGAGGGGGAGAGGAGAGAGGTGGATAGGAGGGGAGTGGAGAGGGTGAGGGGGGATGAGAGGGTGAGGGTGGAATGAGAGAGAGGGAGAGGGAGAATGTAGATGAGTAAGGGAGAGAGGAAGGAGGGGAAGTGGATGAAAGAGAGGGGAAGGAGGGGGCGAGTAGGTGAGGAAAACAGAGAGACAGACGGATAGACAGACAGGCAGAATGAGAAAGAAAGAAGAGAGAGAAAACGAGTTGCGCGCGCATGATGTAGGTGAAAGAGATGTGTGCGTGTGTGTGCGTGCGCATGCGTGATGGGAGAAGGGATGCGTGTACGTGTGTGTTTTGGGGGAAGTACGTTTATGTGGCCGGGGAGGGGGGGGTGAAGGGTAGGACCATGTGCGTGTATACGTGTATGACCATGTGCGTGTATACGTGTATGACCATGTGCGTGTATACGTGTATGACCATGTGTGTATATGTGTGTATGACTACATGTACGCGTCTGAAATTGTGTGGGTGTGACGGAGACTGTGTACTTGTATGTGCAAGTGCAACCGTCGGGGGAATACCTAATTTTACTACTTGGGAGTCCTCGGTCTTGCAAAACTGGGCTTCTTGCATGAATCAGTTGTGCTGCTTTGCGTCTGTCCACCAAATTAGGGAAGATCGTGGGAAATACGTTTTTTTTTTCTCTAATACATTTTGAATAGAATAGAATTTGATTTTTGAAGGAGTTGATAGAACCTTGAAATCACGTGATGGTATCGGTTTGCTTGACACATTTCGAATAAAATCAGATTTAAAGAAAAATAGGAAAGATAGCCTATAAAACAAGATTTTTTTTTTTTTTTTTTTTTTTTTTTTTTTTTTTTTTTACAAATTTCGAATAGATTTAGATTTGCACACAAAAAATATACCTCGCAAAAAAGAATGGTTTTGTTTAAAAAAGGAAGAGAATCAAATTTTAAAAAAGATAGATAGACCTACAAAACAAGGATTTTTTTTTTTTTTTTTTAATACTGGACATTTCGAATGGAATTAGATTTAAAAAAAATACTTATCGAGAAGAATTAGATTAAGAAAAGACACAGACCTACAAAACAAGACGGGCTTTGTTTTGTTTTTTATACATTTGTGATAGAATTAGAAGACGAAAGAAAACACGGAAGGTTTCTGTTGTCAAAATGCATTTCGAATAGAATTGGGAGCTCAAAAATAGATAGGCCTACAAAACAAGAATGATTCCGTTTTTTATATACATTTCGAATAGATAAAAGCAAAAATAGATTTAGAAAACGCGAGTGATTCTGCTTTTTAGATTTGATTTCAAACAGAATTAATAAAGTCTCTAAGAAATAGAAAACAAGAATGGTCTCGAACTCGGTTGACTAGACCGCTGTTAATGATTGTGTAATTGTACTTATTGGGGAAGCGTGGAAAGTGTGCTTGTGCGTGTGTATGTATGTGTATGTGCGTGTTGGCGCAGGTGTTGTCACTGGAAGCTGACCAATATCTTTCATGCCAACAGGAAATTGCGAAAGATTAGTTCGAGAGCACGAGTTAGGTCTGCGTAAGGGTTGTACAGGTCCTTGTTGTTGTTGTGGGTGGTGATGAGGTTGTTAGAGGTGGTGGTTTCATTGTTGCTGTGGTTGGTGGCGCTTTATTCGTAGTATCATAAATTCGAGAAACGTGCAGGGTTAGGAGGTACGCTCAGTAGAAAAAATATCTTGCCTTTTTCCTTTGTTGTGGGTGGTGGCGGTGTTGTTTTTAGTGGTGGTGGTTTTATTGTTGTTTTAGTGGTGGTGGTTTTATTCGTAGTATCATAATTTCGAGAAACGTGCAGGGTTAGGAGGTACGCTCGCTAGAAAAATTATCTTTCGTTCTTTTGACTTAATATTATACGGCGATGAAAGCGGTGGCAAGAAGTATTGTGAGCTCGACCTGATGTTGGTACCCCTGCTCACACAATATTATGCATGATCCAAGTAACTTCAATCCTAAATAAATTCCATAGTAATGACGATGTTGTCTGACAATTCAAGCAAATTGAAGAGGAAAAAGGGTTTTGAAACGCCAGTAATTTTGATATTTCGCGTTTCCACCACCAGCTTGGCGAACGCTGGCAACCCTACGCGACATGGATGACACTAATGTTCCCGTCAGCTGGTGTCCGTTTGCAGAGTGTAATTGTTTCTGTGCCGTGATAGTTGGGGCAAGAACGATATGGCGATTGAGGGTATGATCTTAGTAGTTTCACATGACTGCCCAGACTTGGATTCGAGATTGGACTTGGGATCTGGCAGTTTGGGTGGATGTGACACAACGTATTCTCAGGGTGTTGTCGAAACCCACGTGTTCAATCGCGCGCTGCCAGTGGATGGTAACCCCGGTCATTCCTTGCACACAGATTTGGAAAGAATGAAACAGACATCATGTCACAGCAGAGAATATCCATTATAATTAATGTAATTAAACCTAAATCTTAAAAAAAAATCCTGCACGCCGTAAAATGCCTTTGGCCCGGGAACTCACCGATGGTAGAAACACGTTTTCCAGGATTTTTTCGCGGGCAGAGAACCCGTAAATCTGCCGGGCCCGACATTCGTCCTTCCCGACCCAGAAGTTTCTGACAGTCTGTCCGCACGATGTTGCCGGCAGAACAGAAAGGGTCCACATCCCTTGCAGTAGTTATGGCCTGATTGAAAAGAAAATTGATGAAAATGAGGAACTAACAATAAGACGACATGGCAACTAACTACAGGCCACGCCCCCTTTTCAAACCCAGTCAGCTGTAAGAGGTGTTGCCACTGAGTACCATATGGCTTTCATTAGTTCGTGGTATTCATGCACTTCCAACTTGTCTTTCAAATAGCACACTGATTTATGGTTTCGAATCGCCTTTACTTGACCCTCTTCCCCCGTCGTGCATCTAGGGCGTCCCCTTCTGGCCTATTTTCTGGTGGACCTAGTTTCCGGGTGTCGCTGGATCCACAGAGACACGATTGGCTTCGAAATAACCTAATCTTCTTGATATTCCTGGTCTTGATAGTCCCTCAGACCGCAGTTATGGCACTACGGATTGTCTGTGAGGTATCCATTACTAATATAAGATATGAAATAATAAGATACGGAGCCCTAGCCATATCTGCTCCGAAACACAGTTCGAACACGTTATGAAGCTTCATCTTTTAAATAAATACCAGCCTTTCCGTGTCAATTGGCGATTGTTTACCGACTGCATATCTTCGGTTTTCTGTCCTGACCATGATTCCGCTTTTAATTGAAACTTATATTGGTGTCATCGCAACAAATCTCTCAAGGTTTATGATAGATGCATTTTGGATTCGTATTGAATTTAAATCTTTCTCGAATAATTAACCAATTGTTCAACTGTCTCTTTAAAAAATCGGTATAGAAGTTCTCTTGACTTAGATGATATATAGAACTTGAATTAAGAATGTCTGCCTCTCTCTCTCTCGTCTCCTCTCTCTCTCTCTCTCTCTCTCTCTCTCTCTCTCTCTCTCTCTCTCTCTCTCTCTCTCTCTCTCTCTCTCCTCTCTCTCCTCTCTCTCTCTCTCTCTCTCTCTCCTCTCTCTCTCTCTCTCTCTCTCTCTCTCTCTCTCTCTCTCTCTGCGACGATCGTACTCAAAGAAATGGCATTGAAGGAATCTATTTTTCTATTGATTTGTTGTCCTTATTTTCATTTATTGTTGTTTTACTTTAATAACTTGTTACACTTTTTTTGTAACTTTTACATAAATTCCTCATTTTTATAAGGAAGTGACGCTCAGCTTCTCTCTCTCTCTCTATTTGTACTCTATTTAGTATCTCTTATTACAATTTTTTAAATGTAATCTAGTACAGAAATTCGAGTAGCACTCACTTCTCTCTCTCTCATTTGCATTCGATTTAATATCTCTTATTATTTTTTTTTATTCTAATCTTTTACATAAATTCCTCATTTTTTAAAAGGAAGTGGCACTCACCTTCTCTCTCTCCCTGTAGGTCTGCGGCCGTACCGTGGGAAAGTGACCTCGAAGTGCCTGGGTCTCCTGGGCACCGTCTGGCAAGCCACCTTCGCCAGGGTAGGAGAGGACTGGGTATTCCTGGCGGTGTTGGGCGTGGGATCTCGTTTATTATGGACTATGGCATCGCAATGTGTAATAAAGGTAAGGTTTAAAGTTGTTGTTTTTTGTGTGTGTATGATTTGGAAAATATTTTATATGTATTTTGTTTTGTGTTTGTGTATGGTTTAGAAATTGTTATATATATATATATATATATATATATATATATATATATATATATATATATATATACTTTTTTGTGTGTGTATGATTTAGAAAATGTTTTATCATAGGTTTCGGTGTTTTGAGGAGGTGTGTGTATGGGTTTAGGGTTAGACACACACGTATAGTCGTATGGGTACATGTTCACTCATGGATACGGTCATACATGATGCACGCACGCAGACACACACACACACACACACACACACACACACACACACACACACACACACACACACACACACACACACACACACACACACACACACACACACACACACACACACACGCACACGCACACACCTGGCTCCTCCCCAGCTTGGTGACTACCGCAGCCAGATTTTGTGGCAAATTGGTACTACGTTGGCGCCATTGACCAGTTCCCTTCCGTCTGTCATTGGCTTCCCGCTCCGCCTCTCTCTCTTTTGTCTTATTCCATTTTCTTCTTTTTTGTTCTCTTGTTTTTTTTTTTTTTTTTTTTTTTTTTTTTTTGGGGGGGGTTGTTTGATTCTCTCTCTTAGTCTCGTTGCTTTATTATTTTTTTTCTCTCTCTCTATCTATCTATCTATCTCACTCTCTCACTCTTTTCTCTCCCCTTTTCTCTCTCTTCTCTCTCATCTTCTCTCTCTCTCTCTCTCTCTCTCTCTCTCTCTCTCTCTCTCTCTCTCTCTCTCTCTCTCTCTCTCTCTCTCTCTCTCTCTTCTCTCTCTCTCTCTTTATCTATCTACCTTTACCTATATATCTATTTCCTTTACTCCTTTCCCTTCTCTTTCCTTTTTATCCCTTTTTGCCCTTGCTTCCTTCCTCCTTATTTTCTTCCCTCTTTCCCTATTCCTCCATCTCCCTTCCTCTTTCCCTGTTCCTCCATCTCCTCTTTCCCTCCTCCTCAACCTCCCTCTTTCCCTCCTCCTCCACCTCCCTCTTTCCCTGCTTTTTTTTCCCTTTTGCTTCCTGCTTCCTTTTTCGCTCATTCTGGTCCACTTCAGGTCCGCTTCTGGCTCGCCCTCCGGCCAGTTCTCGTTGGCAGCCCGTCGTTGGCACCGGCTGTTTGGGCTGGTCCTTTGGAGGCGTTTTCCAATTTGTTCTTTGTCGTTGTTGTTGTTGTTTTGTTGTTGTTATTGTTGTTTGTTGTTGTCGTTGTTGTTTTTTATTCTCGTTGTTGTTGTTGTTGTTTATTGTTGTTTGTTTGTTATTGTTGTTTGTTGTTGTATTGTGTTGTTGTCGTTATTGCTGTCGTTGTCGTTATTGTTATTGTTGTATTTGTTGTTATTCTTTTCTTTTCTTTTTTCTTTCTCTCTTTGTCCGGTTTTTAATGGCCGGTTTGTTAGAACTGTGCGAGGTCCGACCCAATGAATATTCATTATGCTGACATATACACAGAAATAAATGCATACCTATCAGTCTAGAAATGCATATATACCGCATAGATAGATAAGTGGATATCTATCAGATAGATTGATAAGTGTGTATCAGTTAGATAGATGTGTGTATCTAGTAGATAAATAAGTATATTTCAGATAAGTGTATATCTATCAGTTACATAGATGTGTGTATCTAGTAGATACGTAAGTGTATATCTTTCTATCATCTATCAGATAGATGCGATGTGTTTCTACATGTCTAGATAGGTAGATAGTAGATCAGTAGAGAGATAGATAGAGAAAATAGATTGATGGCTAAGTTAGAGGAATTGATGGACGAATAGTGGGATAGATGGATATAAAGATAAAAGCATGAATGGACAAGTTATTCAATTATGATATGAGAGAGAGAGAGAGAGAGAGAGAGAGAGAGAGAGAGAGAGAGAGAGAGAGAGAGAGAGAGAGAGAGAGAGAGAGAGAGAGAGAGAGAGAGAAAAGAGAGAGAAAATAAACTTGGCCGTAAGTCTCGTATCTATTTGTCTATTTTTACATGCATATTCTTCTTACTTTCCCCACTTCGCTATTTTGCATCTAAAGTATCTATTGACCTCTCCTTTTTTGTTTTGTTCTCTCTCTCTCTCTCTCTCTCTTTCTCTCTCTCTCTCTCTCTCTCTCTCTCTCTCTCTCTCTCTCTCTCTCTCTCTCTCTCTCTCTCTCTCTCTCTCTCTCTCTCTCTCTCTCTCTCTCTCTCTCTCTTGTCCATTATTTATACCCATCTATCCCACTATTCGTCCATCAGTTTATCTAACTTATCCATCGATCTATTTTCTATCTTCTCTACTGGTCTACTATCTACACATTTATCTATTGCCATCCTTTCGACCTATCTATTCAACTATCTGTTTATCAATCTTCTATCATTCTTACCATCAATCTGTCTATCTATTACCAACCTATCTTTCGATCAGTCTATCTATCTATCTGTTTATCATTGTTATCTGATCTATCTACCTATCTATCTATCTATGTATCTATCTATGTACCTATCTATCTATCATCTATATACCGATCTATCTATATATCTATCTATGTATCTATCTATCTATCATCTATATACTATCTATATCTATCTATATATATCTATCTATCTATATCTATCTATCTATCTATATCTATATCGTATATACCTATCTATCTATGATCTATATATCTATATATCTATCTATCTATCTATCTATATACCTATCTATATATATCTATCTATCTATATCTATATTTATTATATTAACCCTTTCGCTACGCCCTTTTCTCCCGCAGCTCGAATCTGGCTGTACCGAGACCTAGCGAGCCACACCGCCCTGCAGTACCTCGCGTGGGTGTCTCTGCCTGTCTGCCTCATCCTGTTTTCGGCTGGTTTCGTACACATCTTAGCTCCGCAGGCCGTGGGTAAGTTTGTGGTTTTTTTTATTATTATTTTGTATTGTATTTATTATGTTATTTATTTATTATTATTATGTTTTTTTGCGGGGGAAATGTATTTTTTTTTAGGTTAGGGGCGGGGTGTAGTTGGCTGGTAGGTCTATGGATTTCGTTTATTTATTCAGTTTTACGTTTTGCTTATTTATTTGATTTAGATTTTGTTTATTTACTTAGTTTAGATTTTTTTGTGTATATTTATTTTGTCTGTGCAATGGTGTTAGTTATGTCATTTGTTGCTTTGCTGAAGATTTACTTCGGATGGGTTGGTTTTGGGTTCGTAGCCCCACGGGAGAGAATAATATTTTTGAATGATGAGGATCGTTCTTATTCTTTTACGTATTTCAGTCATTTATATAATTCTCATTGCAATATCCTTGTCATTTTTTCATGTTTTTTAATTACTTCCATTCCAACACTTTCCCCAACCCCTTCCCTCAAAAAAAATCCGTATTTTCCTATCCTAAATCTCCTTTCGCGGCTCCTTCCGAATCGAAAACATCCTTCAACATCCTTCTCGTCACGGCTCATCCTCCGACAAGAAGAAGAAGGAGAGATAATGAGAGGTGGAGAGAGATCCTGGCAAGGAGAGATAAGGTGTCTTTTCTTAGGCTCGTTTTCCCGCTTCGGATTCGAGAGAACTTAAGGCGCCGTGGACTTGTCTGGAGCGTTTTATTAACTGTCGCTGCGTTTCTCTTTTATTTTCTCTTATTCTATTGCTGAAATATATAGGGTCATATATATATTTATTTATTTATTCGTTTATTTATTTATATGATGGTCATCATATCGATTTGCCTTTTGTTTTCTTTCGTGTCATTCACAGTACCTTGAACATTCTTTCCAGAAACATTGTATCTCCTTTATTCTTCTGTAGTTCATCCGTATCATCATCTATTAATTCTACCTTGTCCCTTCATTCATTTTATCCTTTTATATATATCCTCTCATTCTGCCATATCCCTCACCGTCTATTTTTATATTCATTCATTATTGCATCCTTTCTCTTCAGTCTCTCCTACCAAATCTATCCTACCCGTTTTCTTTGATTCTTGTCGTTTCCCGCCAATTCACCGTCACCCATTGTCACTCCTCTTATTGTATTTATTGTCTCATTCAGTATTATTATGTTTATTCACTGTCGTTTTATTTTCTCCATTTGGGGGCTACGAACTGCCAATCTGTCGTTATTGCTTTTTCTGAACCTAAGAATGAATTAAACGAGTAATTTTTTACTTTATCTCATTTTTACTTAGATTTTTATAATAGATATATAATTTTTTTCTTAGTTTTTAATGTCTATTTTTTAGTTTTAGTTTTGAGATGTTATATTGGATTTGTTGGTAGTGATATTTAGATGCTTAGATTTGACATTTTTTATTATTTTTTAATGGACTAATGGAAGATTTTTTTTCCAGAAAAGATGTTAGTATTTTGATGTAGAAGAATGATTAGCCCTATTATTAATATATAGAGTAGCTTTGCAATTATTTTTTTCGTAAATCATAGTGCAATATTGTCATATCAGTGTTGCATTATTGTGTTAAAGAGTTTTTATCCATTTTTCAAACTTTTTATATTATTTTAAATTCATAAAGTATGTATACATATTTGTGTGCGTGTATATACGTAATTGTATATGGTAAGGCTATACTTCTAAGTAAATGTGGCTTTTTATTTAAGCTATGTAATTCCGTTATTTTTTTGGCTTGTTTCAGATAATAATCTTCAATTGATTTGAATGTGCAAAATATAAACTAGTTTTGTTTGTGGATTATGTGGTTAATGTATTTAATTTATATACATTTTTTTTCAATTAGAAATAGAGTGTGTGTCACAGTGTTTCATAAAAAAATGAGTTCCCTCGTTGCTATAAGGG